ATATTGAAAAATGAAAGAAGCAATGGGGAAAAACTACAAATTCTATTAGAATTAAAAATTAAAAGGGAGGGTTGTACATTAGAGGGGAATCTCAGGTATCAGGTGTTCTGGGAAGTCTGTGCCTCTCAAATACCTCAGCCAATGGGGAAAGAGAGAGGGAAATGTTACTGGGAAATTGGGATAAAAAGGAGGCTGTGTCCTCCAAAAATCTGAGAGACCCCAGAGCCTCTCCCTTTATTCAATAAAGCAAAAGGACTCCTCTGTCTCCCTTTTGGACAAAAACCTCTGGTGTTTGTGGATTAATTTTACTGACAGAGGGAAGGGCACAGCCAGGTCCTGGTCCCACACTTCTCCTCACTGAGAATTTCCAGCCTCTCAAACTTCCACTCATGCCACTCCAACTTTGTTTCAATGCAACAGGTAGCTGGAATGATTAATGGCTGCTGGAGAGCTGAGAGAGCCATCAAACATGTTGTGTTTTCTCTGTGGGGAGTGGGTGGAAGGAAAGCTAAATTACATCTTCGGGATATTAAATATAACTCTGCACATTAAACTCGGAGTTATCCATGAATCTCTTTAATGACAGTGCAAAGCTACTTCACAGCAGTAAAAGTCAATGTTGCCACAATTAGACCACTATTGTCTTGCAGTTAATAGACTGCTCTAATCATGACTTTGTCATATTATTAATGGCTTTTGGGTTGGACTTTGCTAATTATCCCCTTTGGTAACTCAGTTTAGGCATTAGGAAGTCAGCAGGGACATCAAGCTGAAAGGCATTTGGACCACATCTCTTCATTAGCTCCCATCCAGGATGAAAAAAAAAGGGGGATTGTGCTGAGGAGCTGCTCTGTGAGTGATGGACACTGTGGTGGGATGGGCTGGACTAACCGAGGAATGTTTGCCCCTTCCTCAGTTTGCTTTTAGCTTTACAGTTTTAAACTGCAAACCACGATTTCTCTGTCCTGCCCTGGGCCGTTTGTCTTTGATTTAAAGGCAGTAGGAAACAGTGACCTTGGAAATGCTGCAGTTTTGAGCTTTTTGGTGTGGCAGTTTGGGGTGACATTGAGAGAATCCAGTCTTGTTTGTGTTCTGTATGTTCCCATCACTGTCAGCTTCAGGTCTTTTCTGTGGTGTTTTGGTAACAAGTGGGCTATAAAATAAGTATACAATAAATATATAAGCTCAATGGCTATTCCTAAACATATCAGCTAAACCATAGAATCACCAAATCAAGGAATGCTGAGGGGTTGGAATGAACCTTAAAGATGATCTGGTCCCCAATCCCTGCCGTGGGGAGGGACTCCTCCACTAGACCAGGTTGCTGGAGGTCTTGGCCTGGCTTTGAGCACTTGCAGGGCTGGATCCTGTCAGTGTCCATGTCCACCCCTGTTCCTTGTCGCTCAGGAGGGAGCTCTGTCGCTGCTGCCCTGCAGTGACAAAAGCGTTTCCCAGCCTTAAATTCCTCAGGGAAGCAGCGCTCGTTCCCGGGGGAGCCGGGCTGGAAAACAGCCATGTTAATTTGTGTTTGCAACCTCCTTCTTTTCAGCTTTATCTTTTCAATTACAAGTTATAACAAGAGCTATTTTCCAGTTTCCCCCGGGTCTCCTGTGGGAGGATGAGGGGGCAGCACTGAGTTCAATGGGGCCGGGGTGAGGAATGGCTGGAGCTGCTCTGCACTGGTACCACAGCCCTTATTGATAACAAAATGGCAAATTACTGCCAATTTCTAAGAGGGCAACAGGATAAAAACATAGTTCTTGTGGTTTTTCCCTGTGGGACGTTGCTCAGAATGGTGATGTGACTCTCCCTTGTGAGCAGTTGGGATCTGAGCTGTTCCTGCTTTAGGCAGGATTCTTCAATCTGCCTTAGATTCAAACCCTTCCTCGCTGCTGGATGCAGGCACATCCCTCTTTTCCCTCTCTTCTCCACACCTCGCATTCAAACCTTGAAAAAAAGAGGGATAATATCAACCAAGGAGCTCATTCTTCCCCTGGGCTGAGGTGTCCTGGCCTTACCTCCACCAGGAATACCAAAGCAGCCTCTGGGCAGGGGCATTTTCTGATAGGTGAGGAATTATCTTGTTTTTACAGTTTCTTGTAAGTTAAAGGACATTTAAAGCATAACATTTTCAATATCAGGTATTTTATAGAAAGTAACTGGTATTTTCTAATTCATAAGAGAAAGCTCATTACATCAATGAAGGTCGACTCTGTCTAATTGATATTTAAGTTTCATAAGTCACGAAAAAGTCTTGGAGAATTCAATGTCATCTTCAAACAGCCCAATAGTTTGAGCAGGCAGATGCCTAAAAACTGTCTGTAAAATCCTGATCCCTTCCACTCGTGCTTTGTGTCAGCTGTCAGAGGAAGGAGTAGGAGGTCATGCATGAAAGTATCTGTGAATCCTGTCAGGCACATTATGAATGCCAGCCCTGCAAGGAGTGACAGGAACCAGGATCTTTCTCAACCTGGCAACAGGTTTTCTGAAAGGATAATTGATTATTTCTGATGGTTTCCATAAATGAGCCTGGTGTGCTGGCAGAGACATGCAGCCTATAAAACTCCTTGGAATGGGTGGAAATATATTTTAAAGATCTTCTCTGTCACGCAGCAATTCCCAGCAGTGAGAGATTCTGCATTGCAATGATTTCCTTTGTACCAACACAGACACATTTGCAAAAGTCCAGGTTCTTGAGCTTTCTTATGAATGTTTGACACTGAGTTTCCTGGGCACGATTCCAAGATTTAACTCAAAGGATGGGGAAGTGGAACCTCTGTGCTCTTGGCTTGGGTGAAAATACATTTAGGTAAATCTCTGAGGAAGCTCTGCTGCTGGCTGGTACAACCTTATTTATTATTGAGTGAGATGGGACCTGTTTATTCACCCCAGCAGCGATCTGTGTTTCCACCTCGGAGCTACAACAGAAAATAAATGGCCTGTACAGGAGGCTGGGAAGGAAAAGAGAAGTTGCAAAAACCTCTGGGTGATGTTTATCCTTCTCATCCCATCCCTTCCAGCCCTTCCCTTCGAGTCAAAACCCCACAGGCAGCCAGGGAGCTTTGCCTGGGGCTCCTGCTGGATTTTCTGGGCTCAGTAATTTGGTGGAAAAACAAAATCCTCCGGGATACCAGAACAGCAGATGGCTTCCCAGGCTGGCTTGTTGGGGTGTGGATGTCACATTTTGTGTCTGATGCTGCCTGGAGATTTCACTTACAGCAGCTTGTGTGAGAATCCCAAGTTTGCAGTGGCTGCTGCATTCCCAGGGAGACCAGAGCACAATCTGATGATGCAAAAGTGCTCCTGAGCACTTTGCTGCCCTGGTTTACCAATGGTGGGTGGGGGTTTGTTGTTTTGTTGTGATTGTGGGGTTTTTTTCATAATTTTTAAATCCAGCTATATATTTAAGATTAAAAACCTAGTTTTTTCTCATATTTCACAGATTTTTCTCAGCATTTAAATCAAGGCAAGGTTAGATGGGGGAGTCTGAGCAACCTGGTCGAGTGGAAGGTGGAATGAAATTATTGTCAAGGTTCCTTCCAAGCCAAAGTATCCAATTATTTTATGATTAAATGTTTTATTACAGCTTTACAAAACTAAACTATATGATCAGAGGGAACAGAAGGTGTTTTGTGGCTCCTGTTGAAGGTAAAGCACACCAGGAATCACATTTAGAGCAGCTGTGATGCAGCACAGAGGGGAGATCCACAGCTCAGAAATCTCAGGGCACCCTTCCCCATTCCTTGGGGCTCAGGTAGAGAATTCAAATTCACACAAAACATTTCTGGTCCAAGAATAGACATAAATAGGGTGGGTAAGAGGCAATGCTTGTTCCATATAAACTTTGGGGGTTTGGTGTTTTTTTTGTTTGTCTTTCTGTCCTGACTTGCACTTGGGTAATTTAAGGAGTGTGGCTTTACTGGGGACTACAAATAACACAGCAGGAAATGAAGGAATTGTCCATGAGCTCAGAGCAATCCATGATGGAATTGTCCATTCCTGACACTGCAGACTTGCCTCCAGAACAAAACCTGCCTCCATCAGGGCCTGGTGTTCCTTGGAACCCTGAGCTCTCAGAGTTTTGGTCTGGATGGGAATCTGGGAATTAATACACTGGAGGAAGGGAAGCAAAAATAGCCAAAGTTTTCTCTTTGTGCAGTGCTGTGAATCATTTCACAGCCAGATGATGTATATATATATATATATATATATATATATATATATATATGTATTTATATACACACACATATATATATTCCACTTTTCCTGATTCATCAGCCACACGTATGGAGGCTCTTTCCTCTCCAGAAAAAGACTGAAATACACCACACATGAGGTAAAAGTGTCTCAGAGCATTCAGAGCACACACGCAGCTCCTGTGCTGTTCAGAGGGAAGGAAGACTGTGTAGCACTGTCTCTACAAACTCCTTCTATATTTGGTTCCTCTGCATCAGCAGCTTGTGATTATTTTTCCCTTGGTGTTGGTATTTACTTTTTATTCCCTGTGGGCACATCTGGACAAGATGTGGGTGCTGATAGTACAATAACAATCCACTTCCAGGACCCTGGTAGATGGATTTGTTTCACTGCTGTGCCTGAGCAGCTGTGACACGAAGCACAAAGGCATTTTCTGTGGTACAGCACCCGAGCTTGTTCCTATCTTGGAATTGTACAGATCTTCTAGATTTCAGACTCAGCAGTTTGCAGATGCCCAGAGCAAACCAAGGATGGTATTTTATAGCCAGTTTAAGCATCAGGGTGTAAAACTTCACAGCTCTGCCCATATGGAGACACCCATTTTCCCCCCAGGTGTGCCTCCAGCCTTTCAGGGATGCTCACTCGGGCTTGGCTCTGGCTTGAAGAATATGCCAAGAGCTCTCCATTAGTTGTGATTTAAGTCAGTTGGGACCATTTCTTCCTTTTACTTATGATCTTCTCACCATCTGTCTCTTCTTTTCTTCTTTCCCACCCCTCCCTGTCGCCATCCTTCTCTCCCCCAGAGCTCTCCATCAGCCTCCTGGCAGTGATAGTTGTAGTGTGTGGCCTGGCTCTGGTGGCAGTGTCTGTGTTTCTCTTTTGGAAGCTGTGCTGGGTTCCCTGGAGGAACAAAGCCCTTTCCTCCCAGCTGGCCGTGCTGCACAGCGAGGCAGGAGACAAGGACAGCATGGCAGACAAGCTCAAGGACACGGGGGCCATCAGCTTCCTGGAGGCAGCTGTGAAGATCAGCCACACGTCCCCAGACATCCCTGCAGAGGTGCAGATGTCCATGAGGGATCACATCATGAGGCGCACCCGGATCCAGAGACAAACCACGGAGCCAGCATCCTCCACCAGGTGAGGAATGGGATTTGGGATGGGGTGGGTTGGGATGGGATCCATGGAATTGGGATCCATGGGATGGGATCCATGGGATGGGATCCATGGGATAGGATCCATGAGATGAGATCCATGGGATGGGATCCATGAGATGGCATCTATGGGATGGGATCCATGGAATTGGGATCCATGGGATGGGATCCATGGGATGAGATCCATGGGATGGGATCCATGGGATGGGATCCATGGGATGAGATCCATGGGATGGGATCCATGAGATGAGATCCATGGGATGGGATGCTCAGCCTGGAGGAGGTTGGAGTTCATCAGGGGCTGCAGCTCTGATCTCTGCTCTCTG